TATCCCACCTGAATTTAGAGATCATCTGAAGAACAGGTTTGATACATTAAACACCAAAGATCGAAGACCAGAGAGTTGTGGGATGTCATCAAGAACATCATACATGAAGAAAGCAAAGTCATTGAGGAGATAAGAAAGAAGGAAAAGGTTCAAATGGATGTCAGAAGAGACACTGAAACTTGCTCTCCAGTGTAAAGATGCTAAAGCAAATGGAAGAAATGAGGGGAGGCCCAAGAGCCGAAGAGAAAATTTCAAAGATCGGCTCGAGAAGATAAAGCCAAATATTACAATAAAATGTGCAAAGATCTGGAATCAGAAAACTGAAAAGGAAGAACATGCTCAGCATTTCTCAAGCTGGGGAAACTGAAGAAAAAATTCAAGCCTCGGCTTTTGTTATTGAGAGATTATCTGGGCAAATTATTGAATGATGCAGAAAGCATCAGAAAAAGATGGAAGGAATACACAGAGTCACTGTACCAAAAGGAAATGGTTAATGTTCAACCATTTATAGAGGTAGCATGGCTCTCTTGATCAAGAGCTAATGATACTGAAGGAGGACGTTCAAGGTGCATTGAAGGAATTGGCAAAGAACAAGGCATCAGGATTTAATGGAATAAATTGAAATCTTTCAAGAAGGTGAGGTGGCACAGGAAATTTGGAAGACAACTATCTGGCCAACTGATTGGAAGAGATCCATACTTGTGCCCATTACAACGAGAGGTGACCCAATGGAATGTGGAAATCATTGGACAATTTCTTTGATATCCCATGCAGTAAAATTTTGCTAAAGGTAATACAGAAACGGCTACAATCATACATTGACAGAGAATTTCCAGAGGTTCAAGCCTGATTCAGAAGAGGCCGTGGAATGAGGGATACCATTGCTGATATCCAATGAATCTTGGCTGAAAGCAGAGAATACCAGAAAGATGTTTACCTGTGCTTTATTGAATACGAAAAGGCTTTTGATTGTGTGGATTATGACAAGTTATGGACAACATTGCCAAGTATGAGTATTCAGGAACACTTAATTGTGGTCATGAGGAATCTGTACCTGGACCAAGAAGCAGTTATTCAAACAGAACATAGGAACACTGAATGGTTTAAAATTAAAAAAGGTGTGTGACAAGGTTGTATTCTTTCACCATAATTATTCAACCTGTATGCTGAGCAAATAATCCGAGAAGCTGGGTTCTATGAAGAAAAACATGGCATCAAAATTGGAGGAAGACTCATTAACAACCTGTGATATGCAGATGATACAACCTTGCTTTCTGAAAAAGTCAAGAGCACTTAAAATATTTATTGATGAATATCAAAGAGCACAGCCTTCGGAATGGAATACATCTCAATGTAAAGAAAACAAAAATCTTCACCACTGGACCAATAAACAACATTCTTATCAATGGAGAAAAGATTGAAGTTGTCAAGGACTTCATTTTTCTTGGATCAACTATCAACAACCACGGAAGCAGCAGTCAAGAAATCAAAGGATGTATTGCATTAGGCAAATCTGCTGCACAAGACCTTTTTAAAGTGTTGAAGACCAAAGATGTCAGCTTGAGGACGAAGGTGCACCTGACCCAAGCCATGGTATTTCTAATAACCTCATACACATGCAAATGCTGGATAGTGAATAAGGAAGACCACAGAAGAATTGATGCTTTTGAGTTATGGTGTTGGAGGAGAATATTGAAAGTGCCATGG